CAAACGTTTTCAAAAAAAAAAAAATCTCATCAAGTATATATATATACATTATTTCACCAATGTTTTATGGATTTATAAATTATGTAATAATATTTCAATATATTTTTTACTGTCTTATAATTGAAGGAATTTAAAGTTTATGTTTTTTATATAAGAAAATAAATTAAATATCAAGGAATTCTTTTTCAAGGCTATATTTCGAAATAATAATACAAGAAATAAATAAAATGGTAGAAAAGGATGAATAAAAATAAAAACAAATGTTTTATTTTCTACGTGAAGAATTTCAATACTATTTCATATTGTGTTACTGCAAACCTATTCTTTTGTCGTAGGTTAGGGCAGCTGTACCTAAGTTTTCTCTTTAAGAAAAAAATAAAAGGAAAAAAGGGTGCTGTTCGTTCGTAGGGAACATTTCAACTGAATAAAAGTTCGAAAGCGTGTACGCATTGTACGTGAACCGAGCATCCAAAAGTACACACGTGTCCTTGTTAAAACGTTGTGTTCCTTGTTCTATAAAGAAATAAGGAAGGGAGAAAATAAGAAGGGTCAGGAGTTGGTTGGTAGGGACAACAATTTTCTATGACTATGTTGGGGAGGTCTAGTTTAGTTAGGAAAAATTACATTTTACTGGTTAAAATCTTCGGTTAACTCGATATTACGGAATTTATGATTTTTCTTAATATTTTTCTTATCTAATGTATTAGATCTACCGGAAAATTTCGTTCAAACAAACATTAGTTCAATTTTTCGTCACTAGGGGTAAGTAAGGCCCTATTCCTTAAAATGGAATATACAAGTTGCCACCATGTTGGCAAGAGTTCAAAAGTAATTCAATTAATTAATTGTTCAAATTAGGAATAATTTATAATATTATTTTATTTTTTAAATTGTATTATTATAAAAATATTTTTTAAATGGACTAATTTTCCGGTAGAACTAATATTTATTTATTTTTGTATGTTTAGTGTTGTATGAAAAATCAAATTTACTCCAATATTAGATTTTTAATTATTTCATCTATTTATTATAAAATATACCAGACGAACGCGAAATTAACTTAAGAAAAGAAGCAATCTAGGCAAGTCATATTTTTATTTGGTTAGCAAATTACTCAGCTCGCGGTTGCTGTTTAGGCGATTAAAAATCAGGATATACAGGACAATCATCCTGCCGGTAGTCCTTTATGGTAGCGGATACGTTACAGGACGAAAAGAAATTTAGGGTTTCGGAAAACAAAGTCCTTCGTAAAATCTTCGGTGCAAAACGCGATGAGGAAACGGGGGAATGGAGAAAACTCCATAACGTTGAAGTACATCGATTGTACAACAAACCGGATATTATCAACGTTGTAAAATCACGCCAATTAAGATGGGCTGGTCACGTGGCGCGGTGCATGGGGGAGGATCGAACGGCGCACAAAATATTGGTCGGTATACCAAACGGGAAAAGACCACTAGGTAGACCGAGATGTAGATGAGAGGATAATATTAGAAGGGACCTGAAAGAAATAGGATACGAAGACTGCGAATGGAAGGATCGCGCTCAGGAACGGGAACAATGGCGGGATTTGGTATTTGCGGCAATGAACTTTCGAGTTCCTCTGATGCCAGTTAATAATAATAATAATTATTATTATATAATGTTTCATCAAATTGTTCTAATCTAAAAATAATTGTCCAGTACCCTTTCACGTGTAATACAATTTTTCTTCTTTAATTACCCCCTTTTTTTAATAATGCATATATATACAGGGTGGGTCATCACATTTTACCATCTAGATTTACGTTATCATTATTACGCGTAGCAGACAATGTTTAACATGGAGTTGAATGGCTTTAAAAGGGGTTCATACTGATGGTACTTTATTTATTCTTAGGTGGACGTATCAAGGACATATGAAGGTCATTAATGTTTTTTTAAATGGAATCATATATTTTTTATTGCATCATCTGATGCTCTTTCATATT